CCAGAACTGTCAAAAAGCACCCCCCTGAAATTTCAGCTTTCCAGCTTCCCTTGCTCCTGACTTAGCGACTTACTGGAACAAAATTTTCACGGGCCCGTGCATGTTTACCAAGCATACCCGAGAGTTAGGTTTGAGCTGAATGAAACTTAGTTGGACGGGATATATCCTCTTAAAATCACAGTCCTTTAGCTTCTGAGGTACTCGAGTTATCAGCTTGCACGAAAAAAAAATGCATGAATATTTACACAGTCGCGCCAGCGCTGCCCATAAGATATGGGTCAATGCCTCACACACAATACACGCAAGAATGCGAAAGGCAATTTTAGCTTTTGAGCTTAATGCAAGAATGGAGGACATTCTTTCAAATTTCAACTCAAACCCCCTATCAAAAGGTATAGCAGGGAAAGATGTGGGCTATTCTGCTGTATGCTGCAGCTGCCCTAAGAGAAGGATCAAAATCATACAGTTGGTTCCATGTCCCAAGCCACAGATGGACCTGGGGGTTAATTCTGCGTATTTAGCCTAGCGCGTGATCGGAAACGGTGGTACTAGAATTTCAGCTTTCTAACTTTCGTAGTTCTGAAGCTGGATTGTTAAAAGAGACAGAAAGGCGGGCGGATACATATCCACTCAGTGGCTTATTTATGAAGACAATTTGGAAGACGTAATGAAGACATGGGATGAAAAACAGGACGTCTGATTGTATGCTAGACTAAGTAATGTTCTAGTGGTCAAGCGCATTTTTCGCACTAAAACTTGATAAAGACAAGTAAGCATGTGAAAATTTCACCTTCCCGGGATGTTTCGAAAGATGTGGGACGACGGTCTGTTATTCACAACAAACATTTTTTGTAGTTGTCCTGCCAAATAAATCTGATTTGCTCAGTGAACCAAATGACCCACTGCTGTCCGTTGCGTAATTTATGACGCAATGGAAAGCAAGTTATCCAAGGGGCCCGCAGTTGCTTACAGATTTCTCACTCGAGCCATCAGTGAACTGTAACCAAATGGCAAGCAATCACCGCTGTCCAACATCCACTGCCACAGGCACACTCCAATCAAATCAGTTAGTGGACGGACAAACAAGTTCGATGGGTTCAGGCCTCCCCGGTGGCCGACCCTCTCAAACCACACTTGTCTTCGTTGTCCCTTCTACTGAAACGCTTCATTGAATTAGTGCTCATGGAACTAATTTTGCGCCTAGCGAATTTAATTTCAGATGAAATCCTCTCCTCCGCTTTGCCCTTGCTTAAAGGTCTTTAATTTCCTGACTGTGAAGTTTTTTTGTAACTGTGGCATGGGCTTAAACACAACTCTCCGTGAATAAGAATATTGCGAAACAAAAGAAATAGCGGCGCGCACCAGGGTAGCCGATGTGATCATGCATTTCGTGTAGTTTCGCTCAGCGAACGATTGCCTGCTAAGGATTTCCACTGCTTTGCACTTTGGTCTGTGCAAAAATAGTTGAGATGTTGTCTGGTTCCTAAGTTGCGAAATTTTCCACTAAAATCTTGAACGGTGAACTTTCTTCCTAAATCAACCTCCTACATTTCTGGCTTTTGGATGATTTTCGCGCCAAAACTTTCACGTGGTAGTACGTTAGGCCTCGACATACTTGGAAACCAAACTTGAATTTGTGTGGCCCCTGCAAAGGCAGAAAGCATCTTCCTGAAAATTTCAGTCTCCTACCTCTTCTGACTTTCGGATAACAATTTTCCACGCCAAAGCATTCACAGGGACGTTGAGATCTAGGCGTAAGTGAAAGCCTAATTTGGATCCGTGGGGCCGTACGTGGGCAGAGAGCAGTACACTAAAATTTCAACCTCCCAGCTTTCGTGGTTCCTGAAATAATTTTTATTGCCAAGGCTTTCGCAGAGTCGTACGTGGTACCTAGATCTAAGGAGAAGCTGAATTTTAAGTTGCGGAGTTGTATTTGGGCAGGGGACATTCTACAGAATTTTGGCTTCCTAGCTTATGCGATTCATGAGATAATAATTCCCTGGCCAAAACTTTCACGGGGCTGAACGTGATACCCGAGCGCACGAGAAGGCTGAATCTAAATTTGCGAGGCCATGGGTAGGTGTCATCACCCTAAAAGTTCAGCTTCCTAGCTTTCATACTTCCCGAGACAATAATTTTCCCGTCGAAACTTTCACGGGGCTGCATGTGATACCCGACCGTGCGGGAAGGCTGAATTTGAATTTGCGAGGTCATATGTAAGCAGGGGTCACTACCTTAAAATTTCAGCTTCCTGGCTTTCATAGTTCCCGAAACAATAATTTTTCCTGACAAAACTTTTACGAGGCCGTATGTGATACCCGAGCGAGTGGGAAGGCTGAATTTAAATTTGCGAAGTCACGCGTGACAGAAGCCATTATCCTAAAAGTTCAGCTTCCTAGTTTTCATAGCCCCCGAGATAATAATTTCTCCGCCAAAACTTTTACCGGGTCGTACCTGGTACCCGAGCGCTGAGGAAGGCTGAAGTTAAATTTGCGAGGTGACACGTGGGCAAGGGTCATTGCCTCAAAACTTCAGCTTCCTGGCTTTCATAGTTCCGGAGGTAATAATTTTCCCCACCAACTTTCACGGGGCCGTATGCGATACTCGAGCGCGCAGAAGGTTGGATTTAAATTTGCTGAGTCGCATGCGGGCAGGGGACATTGCCGTAAAATTTCAGCTCTCTAGCTTTCGCGGTTCCCCAAATAATAACTTTCCCCGCCAAACCTTTCACCGGACCGCACATAGTGCCGAGGCGCACGGGAAGGCTGAAATTAAAGCTGCGGGGTCACAGGTAGACAGAGGTCAGTACCTCAAAATTTCAGCTTCCACGCTTTCATAATTTCCGGGATAATAACGTTGCCCACCAAAACTATCATGGATAGTACGTGGTGTTCGAGGGCAGGGGAAGGCTGAAATCAAATTTGCGGGGTCACACGTGGGCGGGGAAGATTGCCCTAAGATTTCATCTTCCTGGCTTTTGTGGTTCCCGAATTGAAAGTTGCGGACAAGATGCATCAGACACACACACAAACAATCCTGTGACAATATGCGTTTTGTGCAGCTGTTGCACAGTATAAAACGCAGAAAAACCTGCAACGATATTCGATGAATTCAGAGATCGGCCCCAGTTCCTGTCGCGGACATGTACGCACTTCGCCGGTTCGCCGTAGCGAATCTTCAACCACATTAAAAAAATTAGAAAATAAATCCACTGCGTATTTTCCAGAGAAAACAGTTTCAAGCAGATTTTGCAAAGCATTAAATGTTAGTTTTTCCCCCGGCCAACTCAGTTATGAATATTTTTGCGCAAACAATTTAAGTGGCTCGCCTACCGGCTATTTTTAAATTACAGCCTTTTTTGAGTGACAAAGAGCAGATGCGCCGCCACTGCCGCCCATTGATCCTGGGAGTGCTCCCGCAGTGTCCTTAGAGATTAACACATAATTAGAAGGTCGACGAGCGCGACTGGAAAACGTTCCCCACTCAACACTCAATTCTCGATAAACATTCTTAAGTATTCACATACTGTGAATCCCGAAAAACGCTTCGACAAATTATTGAATCTAAACAATTTTTAAAAAAGCGCTACAGCAGCTGAAAATTACAACTGTCGAAAAAGTTTGTTTTGAAAAAATTAGAAAACAGTTCGGTAGAAATAATTCCTTTTTTGTGAAAAATACTTA